TATAATATAATAATAATAATAATAATAATAAAATAATCCCAATAATTGCTACCCAGATAATAAATACTATAGATACAGTGTGAGTGTGGGCGTGAGTAAATTAACCAATTAGTTAGGGAGTAGGGTTTCTATGTACAAGTCATATTTGTACTATGCGACTGACGCAATTGGCCACCATGGCTCCACTCAAACGAGCCCCATATTCTTTCTTTGTCTTTTTAGCTGCAAAAGAAGACTCTCGCATTCTTTCTTTCCGTTCACGCATCAATCACCATACATACATACGCGCGCGCGCGCGCAAACCACATACAAACATTTCTTTTTCTCCTCGATTTATCCCCGTCTCATTCAATTATCTAATCTCGGCGATATCTCACTTCATAAATTATTTAAAAACAATATTTTTTACACTATAATGTATGTATAATATGAGGTCACCTAATTCGAATAAAATTTGTCAAACAGCATCGAAAATCTGCGCTAATGGGCCTAGGAAACATGATAACAGCGACCCAATACCGCGCGAGCGTAATATATATTCGTCATATTTTATCTCACGCCAGGGGCTTATACGAGGCATTATAAAAACGAAGTTCTCCCTCCCATTTTATATTATCTATATAAAATTAAAAAACAACGTAATATCATTTTATATTACTTCGTCGTTATTACTAATAAAAACTTTGTACAAAATTTAATTTACAATTAAAAACTTGGTACATAACATTCTAGAGATTCTTCTGATTTATAATTGAACTATCTATCAGCAGAGAGGCGCATTTGCAAATTATCTTCTTTATATATCCTCTCTTTCTTATTTCCCTTCGCGCTTTTTATTCACATTAATACGCTCCTTTACAAACAACACACACGTTATTTCTTATTTTTTGTTTGCGCATAAATATTTTCATCAACGGCATGGTCACATTGATTTTATAATTTGTTTGCTTTTTCTTTTTTTTTCTTCTTTTCTTTTTTTTTTTTTATCACATTTGTAAACATAAATTACAAATCTATTTCATTTGTGGGCTAGAATAGAAAATTGTAAAGGGACTTGTCATGCTGTTTTTTACGACCTGCTGTTTATAATGCATTACTCTATATCATTTTTTAAATACTCCTTGCAACAAAGCCGTATTTCTTCATCCTATGGTTTCATTAACAACTGGTCGAAAAATCGTTCTTAATATTCGAACGATATCTACATTTCTAATACATGAGAGAAATTGCCCATATAGAACCAATTGCTCTCGTAAAGCCCCAAATGACATTATAATAAGGAGTGCGTGAGAGAGGTGCACATGCTGCACTGTAAAGGGAGAGGACGAGGGTGAGGGTCAGACGAGAGCTGCCGCTGCGTGGTAGAGCTGCATGAGCGCCTGTACATGCACCGGTAAACAGGATAATCGATCCTTGGTGTTTGCATCGATTGCGAGCCACGACAATGCGTTATATCCTTCCAAAACGTACCTGAGAATTAACGATATCAAATTATATATATCTAATAAATATGTATATATTATTTATATTTATAACAAAGGCTCTATAAAGAATTTCCGATATAAACCTGAGTACATCGGTGGTATATTGCGAATCAAGTGGATGAGCAGTGAGGGCGCTTTGCTGTTGAAGGAGATCCTCAGTACTTTGCTGAATCGAGGGACTGTGCAGATGTAAAGCATTTTTCAAAAAAGCTGGACAAACTTCCTCGAGATGCGGGCAAGCTGCCCAAAACCATGGTGGCATTCGTCCCGTCGGTGCAGTAGACACCATATAACCAAGAGCAAGCGGTTGTTGCAAAAGCGTACCAACTTCTTCCGATTGTTCAGCAACGGCTATCTATAATATAATATTTCAAAGGCATCGAATATAAAATGTACAAATATTAAATATCTACTTGTTGGAAAAAAAGAATAGATATTTATTTACTTACTCTGGATGCATTACTGCATTGAAAAGGACTACCTGGTCCATCGTGATTGCCTAAGCCAGAACCACCGCCGTCTCCTCCTAACGGGGATCCTTCGGGTCGATGAGGACTTCCGCTAGGGCTTTGGCCACCACCTGCACCCGCCTCGGGCCATACATTAAAAATATCATTGAAATCTCCCATGCCTTCCATTGCTTCTGGCATGTCGTCATTCAAAGCAGAAAATAATTCATCGTCTCCTAATTCTGGTCCATTTATATGTTGTTCTTGAAAGGCAGTCTGGGAGGACTAGAAATACAATAAGTAACATCTCAAATTTACGGAAAAATATATAAAAGAAGTAAATATTTGGTAAAGAAAGTAGCCACTAATCAATTACCTGAGTAGTAGCCGACGTAGGAAAAACAAGAATATGAGTACATGTAACATCTTGTGGTGTGGATAATTGGCAGTTTACTGATGCTTGACTAAACCTTTCATCGGGGGTGAATTGGTCGGCCATTAATCTGAGAGTAGAATCAGGTTCTAGGGATACTAAACATGCGCTTAGTACACAAGGTGCTGCTGACGGATATAAAAGACTGCATTGTCCACATATTTCTTTCAAATGTTTCGAAGCTTTTAAAAGGGCTTTTCTAGAAAGTAGCCAGCTCCAACCTTTTAATTCTCCATGCCCTATACGCCCAACACGACCTACAACTAATCTCCACGGTTGCACCTAGAAAAAAGTCTTACGTCCTAAACGAGGAAAAGGAAAATATGAAACAAGATGTTCATCTTGCCTAGATACTTACACCTTGAGACATCACACCAAGAATAAAGTCCATAAGTTTCTGCAATCCAATTCTTCTGGCAGATGCACGTTTTCTTCGTTTTCTATTAGGTATATCAATGTTAATGGTAGCAGTTTCAAAGATTTCCCCTCGATCGTCCGTTGCCACGGCCAACAACCAAGATTGATCTTCGCTGAGGCAATAACTCAAATACAGTACAGCACATTCTTCTGGTCCAGCAATTCCAAATGATTCTGGAGCCTCGCTTTTTGCTCTTAAAGGGGCCAATACGTAAGCTGGCGCGTACAGTCGGTACGGTGCTTTGTTCCGTTCCTGATGTCAAGGAATTACAAAATCATTTATCATTATTTTCTTTTTAAGTTTCTAAACGAAACTTTAAACAATATGATTCCTTACATCTTTACTTTTCAGGAATAAGTCTGCGGCGGCTGCGGTACCAAAACCGGTAAGACTCTTTACCATGGAATTATGGTTCAGCAAACGACGTCCTTGAAGAAACACGTTCAAAGCCAAAGCTCTCATCTCATCTTCTTTCTTTCTCCTTTCTCTCGCCCGACCTAATTCCATTATGCTTTCCAGCGATATTAACTATACGTAAAAAATATTCAAGTAACAATTTATTTCCTCTTTTAATGATTTCAAATAATCTATGCTAATCTAATTTATCTACGTTATTTATCGATACTAAATGCAGCCAAGATTACCTGAACATTTATGTTAGATCTAATATTTTCAGGCATGCTATTCACAGCAGTTGAATACGCCCGTAAAAGAGCTAGTATAGCGAGCCGTCGACGATCCGAATCTTCAGGTCCTCCCAAAGAAAATGGTTCAATTAAATAAACAACAACAGCTGGTGGTTCGACTTCCTCCTCGTCAGGTCCTATTGTTGTCGTTGTATTTCCGGTAGACAATTGCGGAGTCGGTGTAGTATTACCGATATTCGGATTTGGATTTGTTGTATTCGAGGGAGTCTCGCTTCTTGGGTTTTCGCTTTCTGTATATACGATTAAGTAATATTTAGAATAAATGTCATTAATCTTACCAATGAACGCGGGTACACGTACCAACTGATTCTGGCTTTGTTGTCATCACATCAGGCGTTGCTGGCATTGTATCGGTAACAGGAGTAGTCGTTTGTTGTTGCTGTTGTTGTTGTTGTTGCTGCTGCTGTTGCTTATTTGGTAATTGAACATCACCAGGATCTAATAAACTTCGATCTTGTATAACCTGGGTCAAATACGGTGCCAGCCGATGATTACACACTTGAGCATATAATCTTAACAATTCTCCTATTCGATTTTCACCAAGACACTTGAACCAATCATCGATCGGTTGCTTCGATAACTTTTGTGCCGATGATTTACCCACGCGAAGAATTCCATCGCGTAATAGTTTTGAAATGGATGTGTGTCTTCCAAATCGACAGATCTAGAAAGTAAATAGAAGAGATGCTTATTCGTTTAAGATTCGATTATATTTCTACATCCCTTTAGATAAATAATATGAATAATTGCTACGTACTTCGTAAGTGGTTGAAAGTTCACGGAAAAATGATTTGACTTTGCTGACTACACAATCGCTATCCGGTGCAACGACAACATAAGCGATGTCCCTCGGGCCAGCGTATGGTTCCAACAATAGTTTCTCCCAATAACCAAGAGCATAAGGTGCTAACGACAGCCAATCTCTATCGTATCCTACAACAAGCGCGGGTATCGGTTGTGGTTCGCAACGATCGTCCGTTCCACGTCCAGCTAAACGATGGAAT